GGTGTAGTTGATAACATGCATAGGTGTAGTTTATGACTTGCATAGGTATAATTGATGACGTGCATAGGTGTAGTTGATGACTTGCATAGGTGTAGTTGATGACTTGCATAGGTGTAGTGATGACTTGCATCGGTGTAGCTGATGACTTGCATAGGTGTAGTTGATAACTTGCATCGGTGTAGCTGATGACTTGCATAGGTGTAGTTGATGACTTGCATAGGTGTATTGATAATTTGGAAAGGTGTATTGATGACATGTTTGTGCTTGTGAGGTGATCATCAGATAAACTTATAGGCGACGCAGGGGCAGATCAACGGCCCAAACTAAAACACACACTTCACTTCAGTGAAATGATAGCCCACAGATTTACATAGAAGGCCTTGGCATATCCATTTAGCCACAGATAAGCACTCCACACGGTTAGAGCCTAAATACGATAGAACTATATTTGTACGTAAATCGAAATACGTAGATCGAATACTCAAAACCGACCACGCACCTCAAGAAGAAGTTCGACGGCGTCGTTCATAAACGGAACGCCGGCCTGTGTAAGCACCGCATCTTCAAACCTCCACCGCAGCAGCACCAGCTTACCCCTCTGTTTGGACAGGCACTCATGCAGGCCTGTGAGACGGACACACACACACACACACAAACGACAGGGTAAATACATGGGAGACAAGGAGCCATCCACGCATGCGGCAACGCCAGAGACATTACATGGTCCATGGAAGGGCGTATGCGCTATGGGGGAATGAGGTGATGGTTGTTTAATGTGAGCTGAGCACATACAGAGGGACGTAGTACCGAACTGTTGCGATGCGAAGGGAAGGTTGCACCAGCCGCTTGCACACGAACACACACACACAAACTATTTCTTCAGGGAGTCACAACCTTCAGGACGCGGTTAGAGCCGCAAAAGGTCAGACTGTGCACTTTAAACAGCTCTTGAGTAACCCCGCACAACTCACAGATGACATACCCAGCAGGAACGGATGTGACCCGATATTCATTTTATGTTTGTTTATAAACTTGCTTAATTGCTTTACTCGATCAGTGATATCTAGGGAGGCGCTGCAAGGTCCCAATCGAGAGTCAGAGGAAAGAGACCATACGATTAGACAGTGGGAAACGACAATAAGATTAGTGTGCTGTGGCTGAGGGAAGGAATAACTGACGCTATATGAAACCAGCAGCAGGTGTGAGGCGTCGAAAGCGGGCTTGCGGTTAAACGTTGCACATGTGAAATACGCGTATACAGCTGCGCAGTCTCATCTGAAGGGAAGTGCGGGACAACGCGAACGTGCTCGTGCTGACGTGCGAAAGTGTTAGGCACAGGAGTTGTAGAGTGCATGACGATGGATGAAGTCAAGCTACTGCAACAGTGGCTTATCGACACTTAACAAGACGAACAATCTGAGTGTACAATACCAATGTCAATATAAAAGTAATACTTTCGCGACATCATCGGGTCACATTTAATCCTTACAACATAACACTTGATATGGGTCTCATCAGCGATAATAAACAGAGATACACATGGTAGCAAATCAACATCCATGCACAGCCCCCCCTACCCGTCAGTTGCATTTGTGTCGGTTGTACTGCCCTCAAAGCGGTCGCTCATACTGCCAGAGATACGTATTTGTGATTGGCGGCGTGATATTGAATTCTCCAGCTCATCATTCAGATTCTGTTCCGTTTGGTCGTGGAATTGTCTGTGTGAGTGAGTGAGTGAGTGAGTGAGTGAGTGAGTGTTTGTGGACATGAAATGGAACGGGACCTAACGCCCAGGACAACAGAGGGCCGCCCTAAACCCAAAAAAAATAAAGGATGGGACATGATGTGGGCTCACAAGGTATGAGTACAGAATAGGGCTCTATTGGGTGTGCCGCCGGTGACTTAGGATTTGGGGTTTTCCTTGCCGTGCTGCAGAGAAGGAGTGCTATTGACCGTGGAGTTTTGCAGTAAGGTCGTTGTAACATCTCACCTTTTTCTCACTTGAGAATTGCTATGCACTATCAATCACACAGAGGCATGTACATGTGCATGAACATGTGCATGTACATATAGAATCAGTTGAATCTGGAATGGTGGTCAGATAAGACATCGGATATGTGCTTACCTTCGCATGTTATTCTTGATCGCATTATATCGGCCTAAATCTTCTGGATATTCTAATACCCCGTTGACTATGCCTACTCCCTGTCATACAGGTTGTCGTTTGTAACGGAAGAGAAAAGAGGTTCAGAAGGAACGCAGCAGGATGATACGAAGATCTGTGGACTCATAATATTCCGTTGGGGTGACACCCACCGCCATGATCACGTGCATGTATAAGCAACCACGAGGATAAGATCAAAACGTATACGGATACATAAAACTATATTTACATTTTGTAATAGTGCGACAAAGGAACCAACACAGGCGTCTGTGCGTATTAAAGTACAATATAGGTACATAATATATCTGTATCTATCCATATGCATAGGTATATCCATCTTTAAAGGCATTGGTATAGAAAAATATATACTTACTTTATCTATATGTGATAATATTGATAAATGTAAATAGATGGTTATACCTAAACAAATGTGTGATAAGTCTATATATATATACATATATATATATATATAGATATAACAATACATATATATATAACATATACATATACATACATAAGTACACACACA